ATAAGAACCAAGATGCATCATGTAAAGGTACAATTCCCAATGAGAAATGTAATTGTGTTGTATACCTACAATGTACCAATAAAGGAATTTAATAAAAAAAAAAAAAAGAAACCTTTCTTGGTCTCTCTCAAAAAAATTGTTACTATTATTATCAAGCATTCTTAGTTCGTACTATTATCATCAAATATATTCTGCTAACTATAAACTAAGTTATCTGTACTTAAAAATCCAAGTGAGACATTTTTTTCAGCCCCCAAACAAGGGATGGATGCTTTGTTTCTTTTGAAGGAAAAGCATACATATTTTTCTCATAGATAATGGGGCACTGGAAACCAATCACAGTTCTTATTACTTTAGTGTCAGAGAACTTCCTGGATTTGTGTTCCAAGGCATGAATTCAGAGTGAGCCTAGGGTTCCTAGATGTCATGTAATAAGGAAGCAATGACACAAAACAGAAAACTAATACATAGGCGACTTTATTTAACTGTACATAATTCTATGGCTGTATATAACTCCGTATGTAACTCTGTGGCTGAATTACCTTACTTCCTGGTCTTATCAATGTATCATATCTATTTTCTTATTTTTCAATTTTATTATATAAATTTTTACAAGCCATTTCAAAATTTGAATATAAACACTTGAGCAATGTATATAAACAACCTGTTTCAGGTATGAAGTGAAATGACTCAGAAAAAAAAAATTTTTACTTTACTTGCTCAATCAACTTTTTAAAATGAAAATGTAACCCACACACAGGGTTAAAATGATTTGAAAGTACCAAAGATGCATATGAGATATCCATCTTCTGTCCTAAAACCTCAGGCCTCCTCAGTGACAATTTCATTGTTACAGATTCACACCTGTTTCCATAAATATTGTATGCATAACCTTGCTATTTCTAGAAAAAAATCCTACAACCACGACTGGGAACCTTGTATATACACTGTTCTGTCCCTTGATTTTTGGTGGATGCACTTTTAAGAGCTGGGAAAATCAAAACAAATAGAAAAGTAGGATAACCTAAAAATACTGTACTTTCTTTCAACATGAATAAATTAAAAAAAGAAACAGAAATCTGTTGCAAATCAAACTGTAGCTTCTAGAATATGCACAGAGTTTGTGAAAAATCTTTACACATATCCATAGTAACATTCATGCCAGAAAGTATTTTATATGCTTGAAATGCAGTAAATCACTTAATCCACAGAGCAATTCAACGAAGTATCGGTAAGTATTATTATAATCCTCATTTTATATGTAAGAAAATTGAAGCATGGGCTGGGGATTTAGCTCACTGGTTCTACTGCCTGCCTCGAAAGCTCAAGGTCCCAAGTTCAATCCCCGGTACCAAAAAGAAAAAAAAAGAAAAAAAAAAGAAAATTGAAACAAAGTAGGTTAAATACGCTTTCCAAGACACCAAATAAGAAGTAGCATGGCCAGGATGTAAACCCCCAAATTCTGGATGTCACAGGCATATGTTTAAAAGTTCAGTTGCCTCTTAAAAGAAAAAATAGTTCACACTAGCAGAAATGGAAATAGTAGCAAGCTAACATGTGAAAAATTCAACCTCACTAATTATAAAACACAAATTGAAACAACTATTACAGTACTATATAATATTTATTTTGCAAAATAAAGAAAAATGAAAAACTCAGTGTTGATGGTTCCTCGGGGATAGCTAGTTCCTAATAAAAATCTTTTCAATTTTTCTAGGAAGCAATTTAGCTACATATAACTAGAGTCTTAAAATCAATTACAATCTCTAATCTTGTAATCCCTTACTAAAAATTAATTTAAGAATACAATTCAAAACAGAAAAACAAAATCTATGACCAAGATAATGTTATTAGGATAACAGAGAATGAAAATGAATATTAAAGAAACTAAAGACAATGTAAATTTCAAATAGCAACTATAAATAGTATAATACAGTAAAATAATATTAAGGACAATGCTGCCATATATAAAGTACATACAAAATAAGTTTAACGATAATATATATATATCACAATTATATGTACATGTTAAACCATGTATCTATGCATGGATTCAGAAGAAATCATATCTAAACCTGATCAACTATGTTTAAGTTTGTAGAAAAATAATGTTTATTTCTTTTAAAACTTTAAAGTATCATTCTTATTCCATTTCCAGAAGAATAGAAATTCCTTTAAGAGATTAGACTCACTGTTCTTTTACATTTTATATAAGTAAACTGATTAAAACTTTTAGTAATTAAGTCAATCCATTATACCTGGATAAGAGTGTAATCATGAGAAAGAATCAGGAATTTAGTAGTTTTGTTTTTGTCCCCCACCCAGAGCCAATAGAAGATTCTAGAAAGCACTTACATCAATAGGTTCTTTTTTTGTTAAACTTTTTTTATTAGTACATATTTGTCATATATATTGACCACATTCATCATAGAGAATCTGTACCTGTATATATCTTAATTCTTTTCCCCCATTTCCCTCTCCACCCTTTGACCCCTCCTCCCTTCACCATTTACAAAAGCTTTTTTCAATTTTTTTCTTTCCATTCTCTTTTGTTTTCTTTTCCCATCCTTGCCTCTCCCCTTCTTCCTCCTCTCTCCCTTGTTTCCCTTCCCATTTAAACATTTTCTTCCTATGTCCTAATAGTTATCATCCATTTTGGTCCTTATTTATGCTTTTGGTTTCTCACAAAAGAGAAACAATGCAATATTTAAACATGTGTCTGATTTATTTTACCTAAAACTATGGTCTCAAGGTGCATCCACTTACCTAAAAATGTCTCAAGTTTATCTTTCTTTATGGCAGAGTAGTACTAGTAGTAGTACTTCATTAGAGATGCCATTTGACCCAGCTATTTCCCCTCCTTGATATTTTCTCGAAAGAGTTAAAAGCCTCATAGCACAGTGATACATGCATACCAATAGGTATAGCAGCACAATTTGTAATAGCTAAGTCCTGGAAATAGCCTAGATGCCCGTCAACAGATGAATGGATAAAGAATTTAGTAGTTTTTACAGACTGAATGCTTGGAGTGATTATATGATTTCTATGATAGAACCTATAATGAGGGAAAAGGAGAAACCTTAAGAAAAATCTGTTAGAATATTAACTTACCTGCTTTAAAGTTGCTATGAAGCGAGTTATGTATTCTATGGTGACTGAATCCTCAACTGTAAGCTTATGGCTCTGACACTCCACCTGGGCTCTGTTTATTATGACTCTAGCATCAGCAGTCAGTCCTGGGAAAGAATCAAAACATCACAAAAATGTATTTTTCATGACACATTTTTCCTTGTCAAAAGGGTTTCAGCTACCATCATATCTTTCTTATAACACCACTACACACAACACATGCCCTTTATAAAGGAATTATGTTATTCTCAAAATTTGGATTTATTTCCTTCTAAGACTTACTTTAATGTGTTTTGTTTAGTTTTTAAAGAAAATGGTTTAAAAGAAAATGGATTAAACACTAATAGTAAACTGGGTTTCTTTTTATGAAAGAAGTGCTACTTCATTGTCAAACATATCCACTGAATTTAAGCTTAAAATAAAACTGTGATATATCATATCTGTTTTTTTGTCTAAGACTAAGGATTGAAAATCAAGAATGCTAAAATAGAAAAGGAAAACATTTGACCTTGCTATGTAATTCCCAAACATCTTGTGCTTAATTCTCCACACTTTCATAGAGACAGAATGTGTTCTAGGAAGAGTAATAAACTGACCATAAACTTTAACTGATCCAAGGGCTACAAACATTTGTATTAATGACTTTGACACTAGACTTTTCTCCAGCCATTTATTTTCTTATCCATTCTCTTAAGACTAACCAGATCGACAAACATTGACTCATTAAATCTTGGAAATGTAGCTATTTCTTATATAAACTTTGGTTTTTGCTTTGACAAAGTCATTTCCCTTCATCATTTCAAATCCTATTTCTACAAACCTGGGAGACTTTTCAGACCCTGAAGACAGTATTAGTCAAAAATGAATATGCTGTCTGAATATGCCACTAGTTTTCAATCAGCCTAACACTCATAGGGAGGGTATGAACTACAATCAGATACTCAGTTAAAGGAAGAGAAACTAATTCTTTTCTCTTTACAAATGCTATAGAAAAGAAAGAAATAGCAAGATATTGGTACCGAAATCTCAGAAAGAAATACACAGAGACACAGAATTCGGATAAAATGATAAAATTTCTTCTCGCGAGCGAGAGCAGACGGGAATGCCAGAAACCAGTCTGCTCAATATCCGTATCCCCTTGTTCAGCATTTCCCTTTTTATATCCTTTTTAGTCATTATCTCATCCCTAGTGGTCTTTGATATGTAAATACAATTCCAGTTCCTATTTACAAGTCACAGACACAAGATAGGCCATATACATTGTAAATTCACCCTGGCCTGGTAACTTTGTTAGGTTAATGAAGTTACTGGTTAGAGTCAGATAATCCTCACCTTAAAAAAGGAGTTAAAGGAAAAGCAAATCTTAAAAGAACACATTACTTATTTTGCTTCTACAACTACCTTAATATTCAATCTATTAAGTTATCTAAAATTTTTCCATATCAATATGGACTTAGTCTACCCAGTGGATTAAAATTTCAATTAGAGGGCTGGGGATTTAGTTTAGTGGTTTTGCCGCCTGCTGAGCAAGCGCAAGGACCTGAGTTCAATGTCCCGCACAGAAAAAAACCTTTCAATTAGAAATATGAAATGTCTTAAAGTATTTCTTCTTTACAATGTGAATGTAATCCAAAGTTAAAGAAACATAATAGTAAGATATTTCTTGTGAATCTATAAAATAGAAACATATTTCTTGTGAATCTTCATTATTTCAGAATGAAAAGTTTAGGACCAGCGGTGTAGCTCAGTAGGCCCTGAGTTCTATCCCCAGCACTGCCAAAATAAAACATCACAGAGAGACACATATACACAGAAAGTTTTAAAAGAAAATAACTCCCTAAAGTTGTAAGTGCAGTAACCTAATATACATTTTTAAATGTGTATGGTTTATTATAAGCCTCTCTCTCTCTTTTTTTTTTGGTACCAGGGATCAAACTCAGGACCTTGTGCTTTCGAGACAGTCATGGTGCCACTGAGCTAAATCCCCAGCATTTGTATAGTTTATTATAAAAGTTCGTCAGAAATCTGTTTATAGAGTTGTGATTCTCTTTGGAAATAGGTTGTTTTCAATAAGAATGCATTATACCTATATTTATTATATAAATAAAGCAAAACTGAGTCAGTAGGGCTATGTTGCCCTACTATACTAAAATACTATGCACCATTATTGTAGTCCATAAGTACCTGCAAAAGCCATGCAAACGTGGTCATCAAGAGCACAAATTTTCCTCACAGTTCTTTCATCTTGAAGCTTGGCAACAGATTTTTTTTCTACCCCAAGCACAACTATATTGGTTCCTCGAATTCCAACCTGTCAAGTCATCAAAAGAATAAAAAATGAAACAAAACAGACATATTATTCTAACATATGACTTAAAGGAAAAGTCTTTCCTTACACATTTAATAAAAATAAGAAAAGTAGAATTCTAGGAAAATAGCTACATAGGTACTGGCTTATTGGAAGCCCATTCCACACAAAGAAGACAAATAGAAAATGCAAAGAAAATACCAACAATGATGAAAGCACATGAGTGTCTTAATCTCATACGATACATCTGAAAAAGTACTATATAAATATAGTATGATTTAAACCAAAATGAAAGATGATGATAATCCATCTGAATTATTTGTACAATGGCAGCACTAGTACCAATAATGAAAGTAGTAAAGAAAGAAAATACAATTCTACAAAAGCTCTCCCATGTATCTTACAATTTGGAAGGATAGCAACTTGAGTACTGGCATGACATGAATGTTTAGTCCCTCTTCCAAATGCTTATGTTGTAATTCTGACCCTTATTAATTCTCTTTTTCAAATACATATATTGTAACGTTAACCCCCAAAGTGATGATATCCACATGGGGCCATTTGGAGAATTAGGTCATGGGGGTGGAGCCCTTATAAAAGAGGCTCAAGAAAGCTCATTTGCCTTTCCCATCATGTAAGGACATAACCAGAAGGCATCATCTGTGAACCAGGAAATATACCCTCACCAGACATCAGACTGACCTTGGTCTTAGATTTCTCAGCCTCTAATAAACTTGTTTATAAGCTACCCGTTTTGTGTTATTCAGTTACTAAAGCCAAATGAATTATGACAGGGGCACAAAAATGACCCAACAAATTTCCTCATCTTATGCTTAGATAGTTTGAATGTTCCCCAAGGGTTCATTTACTAAGGCATAGTGTTCAATGTCAATGTGGCTGTTTTGAGGTATTAGGACCTTTAAGAGGTATAACCTAGTAGGAAGTTCAAAGGTAATGGAGACACTCACCTCAGAAGGGCTTAACATAGTTATTAAGAGTCCCAGAGGTAATGCTCTTGAGAGAGTTGTTATAAAGAACAAGCTTAAGCCAGGGATTTAGCTCAGTAGTTCTGCCGCCTGCCTCCAATACAGAAGGTCCCGCGTTCAATCCCCAGTACCAAAAAAAAAGAAGAACAAACTTGGCCACCCCTCCCATTGGTTTGGCTTCCTGTTTGGCCATGTGATCTCTACATCTTGCACATGCTTCCCTTTTGTGATCCTTCCACCATGAGATGCTCCTCACAGCCAAGCTAGTGCTGGTGCCATCCCCTTGAACTTACAGAACTGTGAGTTAAATAAACCTCTCCTTATAGAGTTACCCAGCTTATGATATTTTGTTACAGTAATGCAAAATAGACTACTGTATCCTAAATACTGATGAAGTAACTCACTTCAAACAAGAAGAGAAAATGAATAATAATTGCACCTTCTTTTCTTCCCTTTTTGGAAAGAACTGGGAAAAATCTAAAGTACATATATGGACTCTATAACTTTCTAGCTGGGTACATTCCACAAGCTATGAAAGCTTCCAAGTCATAGGCTATATATATGTAAAAAGGGGATTAAATATTTTCCTTAATACTGAATAATATATATAAAATACCTGTCACAGCTGGAGATTTAGCTCAGTGGTTTCGCCGCCTGCTGTGCAAGTGCAAGGACCAAGTTTGATCCCCAGTACCAAAAAAATAAAATAAAATACCTGTCACAAAATAACACTTAAATGTTAGTTACTTCTTTCCTAGCACCTTGACTACACTCTGTGCGGCAGAAATACAAAACAGGAATTATGCCATTTGGATCCTCAAAGATCTTACTATGCATTTGGGATGAGAAGATTATTAAATATACCTGAAATTAAAAAGAATATGATGCTAAATAATAAATACTGCCCAAAACCTGGAGTTATAGAATTATGATAAAAAAAAAGACCTGTGATGACTGGACTAGATTATAAAACATTTCACAAAGGAAAGGAAGAGAAACATGTAGAGTTAAAGGGATGGAGATGTGGTTCAGTGGTACAGTGTGTGGCCAGCATTGGCAAAAAAAAATATGTGTGTGTGTGTGTGTGTGTGTGTGTGTGTGTATGTGTAAAGTATAAAGCACCAGAAAGAAAGGTGTTTTTCCCTCTTCCCCCTATATGGCTAAAAACTGCCTCTTAATTAAAAAGGGTACATGAAAGACTTGGTTGGCCAGCCTCTGGAGGTGAGATTTGATAAAGTAGGAGATATGGAGCCAATAAGATTCTGAGGTTAGAGAAGAGACAGAAAGAGGAATGATGATAAATCTTATCTTTTTCATGGATATATTGTTATTTACTCTTTTCCCACGAAAAGCATTACCTGTCCAAATGTTATTCAAATTTATGTATTTATAGAAAAGGAGACTAAAGCAAAGAGAAAACAGCCTTCTGGCCCTACTTTATGTTGTCAGATAATCACTAAAAAGAAAGTAGAACCGAAGCTCAGTAATTATGGCTCGTATAACTTTTTATATCATTAAGTAATATCACATCTACACACTGTTCAAAATTGGTCAAGCCTGGCTTATTTTTAACTCATTGTATCAACTGTTAATAGACATACTATTTTACCAACTATTGTAATAAACAAGTGCCAGTATAAACTTTACCCTATGTAAATGGTCTTAGCACCCTCAAGGAAACACAATGAATAACCCCATAAAAGATGCAAATTATAACTTCAGAATCCTGACACAAAAGTCTCATCTTTCCAATGTATCTTTAAAAATGCCCACTATAGGTACTTTTATATCCTTACCCTTTTACAGCTCATTACAAAGGAACTATCAATCAGTTCTACAACATTCTTAAAACATTTAAATGAGCCAGTGTGGTTTCTTATTACACCTCTGTCTTCTCCCATTACTCCCTTTATTTTAGGCTCTAAAAGTTGAGCATTATTTTCTAACCATATGCTACATGCCAAGCTGGGGATTATATAACTTTTTGTTTTTATCAAAATGGTACCCTTTTGGTTTACACTACATCAGGCTTTTCTTAAATTTACAATTCAAAAAAATTACTTATAAAACAGAAGTAAAACTAGTGGGCCTAATTAAATAGAAAAATACTTTAAAAATGATTCTTCTTTCCAGTGAGGTTTTTTTTGCCACTTATCATTTGATAGCTTTATAATGCAAGTGAATTATTTCCTTCCATTATGAAGTTGGTATGAAAAGTGAGCAAAAATACAGATACTTGTGGACTTAGAAATGGTCTGTGTATTCTCATAGCTACTGTCTCAATTTTCAGAATAAACAACAAGCATGCTCATGAAATTTGAGAGATTTAAAAAAAAAATCAGATTCTTTTGAGTTCACAAGCTAGGACTTGCAAGCTTGGGGTAATAGATCTTTGGTCACTAGGGCACTTTTGTCCTTTTTAATTTTTATAAATCACAAAGATTGTTGAATGTAGTTAAAATCTGGCGGTAGTATTACAACTACTTTGAGTATTTAAAAGTTTTTCAGTAAGGTGGATATGTAAGTCTAAAAGTAGGATATAGTCTCTCGTAAAACTTCTAGTATTGCTTTAAAAGAAAAGAAAACAAAACAAAACAAAGGAAAAGGGACAGAAGAGTAGAGACTCTTGGGTTCTGGGCTTCTAAAAGGCCACCAAACATTGGGGTGGGATTTTAGACATTTTTAACAGGTGTATTTGGAGGAGTATTTTTAACCATTTCCTTATTAACAAGGATTAAATCATTATATTGATCATTTTATAATTCAAGGCAGGTCTAGCTGATTTTAATTTTTATGAAAATTAGTAACTAAAAAACATGAAGGAACTGTTAACTCTTCCACGATTATGTGAACTCCTGAGGAAGTAAGGGGGCCATGAACATTCAGGTGAGTTGCGCTAGGCATATTTTTTGGGAATTTTTTTTTTCCTGTACCGGGGATTGAACTCAGGACCTTGCCCTTGTGAGGCAGGCGCGGTGCCACCGAGCTAAACCCCGGCCCTGGACATATTCTTATCAGACACAGCATTAATTGATCTTGTAGAGTCAAGGCTTCACCACACAAACGCACCACCTGGTTTGGTGTCTATAGCCATCTTTAAGCAAAGGAAGTTGCACAACAGAAGCCAATAAAATCGATCAAATTTTACTCCACTTCCAGCACGAATTTCAGAACAGCATTCCCCTTCAATTACAAAATTTAAAAAGGAATAAGTAATTTACACAAGGAGGGGCCTCTATTCTCCTCTCTTGGTCCCCAAGGCTGGAGCAAGGCTGCCTGGGGCAGGTCTGACAAGGCACAGGGGTGACAGGAGACGCTGCTTGCTCACCACTGTGGATCCCTTCTTCACCGCTTCCTGAGCATATTCCACTTGGAAAAGGTGTCCGTCTGGGGAAAATACAGTGATTGCCCTATCGTACCGAGAAGCCATGGCACAGGCCTACAAGGATTCCCGTCGAGCCTCAGACAGCACAAAGCTAAGGCTGGCTGGGAAGCGCGGGGACCACCGCTTGACGGCACCCGGAAGTGCCCACAAGTGTACCTCAAACTGCTTCCCAGAATTCCTCGCGCCGTTAGCCGTTAGCCGTCTCCCAGAAGTCCTTGCACTTGTGCTTTTCACTGCTTTCCGGATTTTCTCACCTTCCACTTATGCAACCCGGGCAATGCCTGGGAGTTTTCCGTGTTCATCCCGTCCTTCTTGCCTACCTCATATCTTCCAGTTTCCCACTACAATGTTGCCTTTGAGTTATTAAAATGAATGAAAGATTAGGGCTTAACAAAGAGATCAACAAAGGTCAAATATTTTTGCATCTTCTAGAGAAAAAGTGGTAAGTAACATTTCAACCTCTTCACTTTGGTTTCAAATCTCTCTCGCTCACTCTCTTCTTTTGTTCTTTAATTCCAAGGAAAGAAATTCTAATTTTCAAAATTAGAATGAAGAGGTCTGGGGATTTAGCTCAGTGGTTCCACCGCCTGCCTCGCAAGCATAAGGACCTGAGTTCGATCCCTGGTACTCCCCCCCCCAAAAAAAAATTAGAATGAAGATTGCTGATGAGATCAGCAAATATGATTTTTTGATGTAGTACATTTGCAAGATATGCATAACTCTGTGAACAAGTATTTTCCAATAACTAAAAGATGATACACAATCACACATAAGTAAAAGACATTCAAATAGGCCAATAGATTTTAATGTAACAGTACTAAAAGTTTATTGATATAATTTTAGATTACATATTTCAACTAATCTTCAGGAAACTGATACTTTTTCAGTTTTGGTCTAGTATCTAAGAACATACAATGATCTGCAAGATATAAATATGTAATGAGTCTACTTTATTCATGAATTAATAAGTTTCTTAATTTCTAATATGATAAGTATTGATAGATATAACCCACATTATTTTTTTTACCAACTTTTTTTTTTTGGTACCGGGAATCGAACTCGGGTGCTTGTAAGGCAGGCAGTGGAACCACTGAGCTGAATCCCTGGCCCAACCCACATTATTTTTGAAAAGGCTCTTTGAGTCCTTCAGTAACTTAGGGAAGTAAAATGTTCTTGAGGTCAAGATTTTTGGACCATTGGAATAAAGTTTTGCCCTTTGTGACTACTTTCCTATCAGAAGCAAAAAGACATCTTCAGCAAAGAGAATGCCACGCAGAGCCACATACAATTGTTGCAGTTTTTTCACATGCAGTATCCTTTTCTCAATCAGGAATAACCATGCACATTCAAGAATAAAGTGACCAGGGCCTGGGGATTTAGCTCGGTGGCACCACACCTGCCTTGCAAGCACAAGGTCCTGAGTTCGATCCTCAGAACAACAAAAACAAAAAAAGAATAATGTGATCAGAACCAGGGATGTAGCTCAGCGGTGCCCTGCCTGCTTGGCAAGCACAAGGTCCTAAGTTCAATTTCCAGTACCAGAAAAAAAAAAAAAAAGATAATAATGTCACCAAAGAGGAAAAGAGGGAATAGAAAAGGACTGATATGAGATCCAGATAATGGAGTTATCAGATACAGATTTTTAAAACAATAAGATAATTAAAATCAAGGGGTTAAAAGAAAGAACTGTAACTATCAAGAGGGACTAGATCAATAAAGAACCATTTGGTCATTGCAGAAATAAAAATGTTAACTAAAATTTAGAGCTTAATGAATTTAAAAGTGGCTCAGAGCATATAAAGAGAGACGTGGGAGCCAGACATGGTGGTGTATGCCTATAACCCTAACAATCTGAGAAGTTGAGGCAGGAGGATTCCAGATTCAAGCCCAGCCTGGGCACCTTAGCATTTTTGGGAGACTCTGTCTTTTTTTTTTGGTACCGGGGATGGAAGTCAGGTCCTTGCGCTTGCCCAGCAGGTGGCGAAACCACTGAGCTAAATCCCGGGCCGGGAGACTCTATCTTAAAATTTAAAAAATTTTAAAAGGGCTGAGGATGTAGCTTTCTGCAAAGGTTCTGGGTTCAATCTCCAGTACCATATGGCAGAGGGGGAACTAGAAGATAGTAAAAAAAAAAACCCATGATATCAAAGCAAAGACAGATAAAAGTATAGAAAGTACTTAAAAGAAAAACATTGGATATACTGAAAAAACAATTGTAGTTGGGAGGTCATGAGATTTTAAAAACAACTAGGGCCAGAATAGTATGTAAAAATGTTTGGTTTAGAATTTTTGAAAATTTTATAAAACAAAAGATATAGGAAAAACTATGAATACAAACTGGGATAAAATTCACACTTAAAAAACTCAATATATTTGTTGTAAACCAAAGATAATAGGAAAATCTTAAAGCTCTCCAAAGGCAGAGCAAGGTGGGGGGTTACCATGAAGCATCAATAAGAGTGTAAACTGATTTGTATACTGACATAGGAATTCTATGTTCAACATGATAAAAAATTTAATGCAGGGCTGGGAATTTAGCTCAGTGGTTTCGCCACCTGCTGTGCAAGCACAAGGACCAGAGTTCGATCCCTGGTACCCCCCCCCAAAAAAATTCAATGCAAACATGATACTCTAGTGAAAAATATTCAGAATTGAAAGTATTAATGAAGGTTTTATTATACAAAGAAAAAATACTAGTCACCAACACTCAATAAAGGAAATACCAAAGAATGTTCTTCAGACAGAAGCAAATGATCAAAGTTGGAAGTTTTGGAGAGGCAGGAAGAAGTGAAGATCATTAAGGCAAATATATGCACAAATTCAAATAAATACTAATTGAATAAAACAATCATCGCCTTACAGATTTCTAAAGGCATAGTATTAAAATTAATAACAAAAGTATGACATAACTTGGGTAAAGCAATGAAGTTAAATGTCCTAACTTCCCTTTTCTGTTGTAGAACATGGTGAAACATTCTAATTTATATTTTTTGATACATGAAACTTGAGTTTATTTATTTCCACTGCTATATAGTTTTTCACTGTATAACTAGGCTACACTTTTTGAAAATCCTTTTTCCTGATGATATCTATTTAAATTGTTTCCAACTCTTTGCTCTTATTGGTCCATAGATCCTTAGCAACAATTCAAAATTTAGGAAACCTGCAAATTTAAGCTGCTTTACCATTTATTTGGCATCAAGATCTGACCTGAATAAACAGAAAGCTATTTATAGTCTTTATTCCACTTAATGTGAATATTCATATGTTCTGCAGAGGAAATATTTAGATTTTTTGCTTACTGGGTGAACCATCATCCTCAAGGGGTATGATATAATATTCAATGAATGTACCATATTATCTTTCAAAATTCTCCCAGAATTTCTAAATGTCAAAACATATCTGGCCACAGGGATTAGGATAAGGATGGTGGTCTGGTACAAGTACCAATGCAGTAAATATCTGTGCCAGAGTGTAGTTTCTAAAGATGACCTTGACAGTAATTCCCTACCCCATGCTTTTTAAGAACCTTGTCCAATTTCCCTCCCCGTCTATCTGAGTAGGATTGTGAAGCCCTGGTAACCAATAAAAAAGAAGTGGAAAGGACATTGCACATCTTTGACATCTAATTTATGCTAATCCTTAAATGGCCCAGAAGGCGTGTTGTAATGTTTGGGAAAACCAAGAGAATTATGCAAGAATGTGTAACCAAAACTAATGAAATAATTCAAACATAATCAAAGAACACAAGAAAAGGAAGGAAGAGTTGGGGTTGTCACTCAGTGGTAGAGTGCATGCTAGCCTTGGGTTCCACCCTTAGTAGTCCTCCCAGAAAAGAAAGAAAATGGAACAATAAATGATAGGAAAAAATAGAAAGCAAATAGTCTTTAGTAGATTTAAGTACATTACTATTTATATTGTCTATAATATTTTAACTATAAGATAAATATGTTTAGGCTGGATAAAATAAATGCACCTATATGCTGTTTACAAGAGATGAACATTAAACTAGAGAGTAGAGAAAATTTGAAAGTAAAAGGTGCATAATATGCAATACTAAACAAAGTATAACTAAGTATACCTTATTTTAAGCAAAAAATACTGAGGGATGACTTGTAATCATAAAAGGTTTAATTTACCACGAAGACCTAACACATCAATTTGTACCCAATACTTACCATTGCATGAAAGATTTTAATGTGTTACTGGTAATTGATAAAATAGGCAGGCAAAGCATTTAAATAATATAGAATATTTAAACAACACAACTAATGAAATTTGCATGCTCTCTTTCTCTCTCCCCACATATATGATATATACACATACATATATGCATACATATATCTATGATACACGCATCATTATACCAAACAACTGTGGACAGCATCTACCTTTTGAGAAAATATGAAACATTTATAAAAATTGACTATATGTTTGGCCATGAAGAAAGGTTTACAAATTTCAAAGGATTAGAAGCATACAGAATATATTTTCTGCCACCAAGAAAATTATGACAGAAATCAGTAAAAACATAAGTAAACAACACTGTGTACTTGAAAAATTAAATATGTATTTTGAAGAAGAATTAACAATGGATATTCGAAAATATTTATAATTGACTCATAACAGAGGCATTCTGTGTTAAAACTTTTGCCTTATAGCCAAAGTAATGACTAGGGAGGAAATGATAGCATTAGATGTACAGTCACAAAAGAAGAAAGGCTAAAATTAGATTATCTAAGCATCAGTGTCAAGATGTTAAACTTAAAAACAGTGTATTAAACCCAAGGAAAGTAGAAGAAACCAGAAAAATAAAGATTTAAATTAATGAAATAATATATATATATTTTTCAAGAGAATAAATTGAAAGGTTATTGAAAAGGCTAATTGTCAAACACAGCAATATACACATATAATCGTAGTTTTTTGGGAAGCTGAAACATAAGGATAGGAAGTTCAGGACCAGGATGAGAAGCATACCTACACTATTTCAAGAAAGATAAAAAATTAAATTAAAAATAAATGGCTAAGAAAATTGACAAATCTAACCTAGAAGAGTAGATACAAATAATGTCTGTAACAAAAAGATGCTACTGCTATACCTCTTGATGACATTAAAAAGTTTTGAGTAACTTCATGCCAATA